ATATATACATATATATATATATATATACATACATATATATATATATATATACATACATATATATATATACATACATATATATGTATATATACATACATATATATGAAAGAAGACATCATCCAACACATCGAACCAACTCTTACCGGAATGGACAAACCTGCTGCTGATAGCATTCGACTTCAAATCTCACGCATCCTCAGTAAAGCCGAACCACCAAAACCGAATATCACAAAGTCAGAAAGATTGGCGCTTGGAAATCTCCGCTCAGACTCTTCCATCCACATTCTCAAAGCCGATAAGGGGAATGCCACTGTTGTTATGAACACTGCAGATTACAATCGTAAGATGCAAGATCTTCTCAGCACTACTACATACAAACCTGTTAAAAGAGACCCTACGCCAGCAATTGAAAGAAAAACTGCCAGCAAACTGCTTGAACATCATCGATCCAAGTTGCTTTCGAAATTGCTATACCACCAACTTCGGCCATCGGCATCAGTCTGTCCAACTCTCTTCGGCCAACCAAAGATTCACAAGACGGAAATCCCACTCAGACCTATTGTTTCATCCAGGGGCTCGCCTACATACCACCTTGCAAGGTATCAGGCCACCTTACTTAATCCACTAATTGGTAACACCGGACATCACGTCGTCAACTCTAAACACTTCACTGATATCATTAGGGAACTTGAGCTGGAACCTCCTGACATACTTGTTAGTTTCGATGTAGAACCACTCTTCACCAGCGTTCCGGTTGATCAGGCATGTATCTTAGCCAAACACAAGCTAGCGCAAGACTCAACCCTTCAAGAGAGAACATCGCTAACTCATATATGGTCTCCTATACCATTGTCTTTCATCCACAACTTTCAGATGGCGCACAGAATTCTACAAACAAACGCAAGGTGCTGCCATGGGTTCTCCGCTGTCACCGGTCATCGCCAATTTATTTATGGAAGAATTTGAACGGATTGCCCTCTACACGTCAGAACACCGACCAAAGTTATGGCTTCGATATGTTGACGACACATTTTGTGATCTGGCCACATAACCGTGAACTTCTGGGGGAATTCCTATGTCATCTTAATGCACAACACAGCACCATCGCCTTCACCATGGAAACTGAATCAGATAGATCTATCCCGTTTTTAGATGTACACGTAACCAGAACCACTAGTAACTTGCTATCACACAAGGTATACCGGAAACCTACGTACACTGGTCGTTATCTTAACCAACGGTCATTTCATCACCCGGCAACCAAACAATCCGTATGCAACACTCTTATTAGAAGAGCCCACTCGATCAGCGACAAATCAAGCCTCGAAAAAGAACTACAACACATCAGATCTACTCTTGCCCTGAACGGATATCGCCATTATAAGTTCAACACGAACCCACCAACCACCAGACCAGTTCAACCAGAACCATTTAAGACACTAGCCTTGCCTTATATAGGCCCCACCTCACATCAAATTCAGCGCATTCTGAACTCGGCCATCATCAGAGTTTACCACAGTGCACCCAATAAACTTCAGGGGATACTTCACACACACAAGGATAAGCCATCTCACAATAATCGTCCAGGGTATACAAGATCCCGTGTGAATGTGGTAAGGTCTACATCGGAGAGACTGGTAGAGACCTCAACACCAGACTCAAAGAACATCAAGGTCATGGAATACGAGGCGAATACCAGAAGTCATCCATCATTCTCCATTCATACAAGGAAAATCATCAAATCCATTGGAAAGACTCAAAGCTAATCGCTCCAGTTTCAAATTGGCACTCAAGACGCACAAGGGAAGCAATGGAGATATACAAGCATAACACAGTTCCACAAGATATTGGATTCGTCATGATTGATATATGGCTATCACTATTTAAACCATCGTCACTACGATAGTTCCAGGGAATTTCTACATACAGTTTATTTGTTTACATGTAATGCTGGTTATCATTTTTATTGGCATGGGATGGTAACCTGTGAATTATGAGCCTGCCGGGTTTGTCCCTTAAATTGCGGGAGAACGGTTACACCTTGCTTATTGTTAACCACTTTACTTGTTTTCAGATTTACTGTTCACAGCTTCTACACAGCCAACATAATAGCTAATCCTCTTTTATGGGAAGACTATTAGTCATGATATATGGACACTCCTAGCTCTCTACTTCAATCAAGCACTATTCACACCTTCTTTGTTTCAAAAGGAAACAATAGATCACCGACGATCACCAACTCTATTTAAGACCAACATAAGTATTCTTTTATCATTCTCCTGATGACGGTCAGAGCAATCTTACCGAAACGTCGAGACAACCAACCAGTGGTTTATACCTTCATAAAAACCATATTCTTTTATTTACACATGGTGTACCGAAAATTTGTTATATGTTTATTGATACTCGCCATGCAAACCTTCAAGAAATATGCTGTTTACATTTACCAATAAGATTTTATATTTATTTTCCCCTCTGTCTGGATGATTTTAGCAAAACTATTTGCTTAGCGTAATATTTTTTTTTAAATTTGCATATTTATGCATAGTAGTATTTGTGCTTAAAATCGTTACTGTAATAGTTGATTACTTGGTCATTTAATTTGATTAGAATATAGCCTGTCTCTTATACACATCTAGATGTGTATAAGAGCTCACGTTT